GGGATGGCGTGGGGACAGCGTGGGGATGGCATGGGGATGGTGTGGGGACATGGGCACAGCGTGGGGATGGCGTGGGGACACGGATCTGGCGCCGGGACGGTGTGGGGACAGCATGGGGACATGGGGACGGCACAGGGACATGGATGTGGCACAAGGACAGCACAGGGACTGCATGGGGACAGCGCGAGGAGAGTGGGGACAGCGCGGGGACGGTACGGGGACGCGGCGTCGGGACCCTGGTGGCGTGGGGACAGCGCGGGGACAATGTGGCCACGAGGGGCCGACCCAGCTGCGTCCCCCGCAGTGCCCCGTGCTCAAGGGCCGCGTGCAGAAGATCCTCTACTGGCGCTGGGGGGAGCCGCCGGCACCCGTGGGTGCCCCCGCCGACGGGCACCCCAAGGGGCTGCAGGGCCGCTCCGAGCGCGAGTTCTTCGTCAAGTGGGTCGGCCTCTCCTACTGGCACTGCTCCTGGATCAAGGAGCTGCAGGTGACGGCGCACGGGCGACGGGACAGGGGACAGCGCCCGCGGCGGGGACACCCCCATGAGCGCGCGGGCGCCTGCGCCACATCGGGGACACCTGCACAAACACGCAGGGTGTCCTCAGCGGCGGGGACACCCCCATGAGCGCGCGGGCGCCCGCGCCACATCGGGGACACCCGCACAAGCACGCAGGGTGTCCTCAGCGGCGGGGACACCCGCACAAGCACGTCGGGTGTCCTCAGCGTCGGGGACACCCCCAGGAGCGTGCGGGCGCCTGCGCCACATCGGGGACACCCGCACAAACACGCAGGGTGTCCTCAGTGTTGGGGACACCCCCAGGAGCGCGCGGGCGCCCGTGCCGCGTCGGGGACACCCGCACAAACACGCAGGGTGTCCTCAGCGTCGGGGACACCCGTGTGAGCGCACGGGGTGTCCATGGCCGTGGCGGGGACACCCCCATGAGCGCACGGGGTGTCCTCAGCGTTGGGGTGTCCCCTGTGTTGGGGACATGTGCAGACCCATGGGGCGCCCACGGCCGCGTCGGGGACACCTGTGTGCATGGGTCAGCCCTGTCCACGCCGGGGTGTCCTCCGTGTTGGGGACACCTGAGCAGACCTGGGGACACCCGTGCCCGCGTTGGGGTGTCCCTAGCGTTGGGGACACTTGCAGCCCCCTGGGGACACGTCCGCATTGGGGATACCCGCATGGACCCGTGGGGTGCCCCAGGGTTGGGGACACCCACACCAACTCGGGCACCCACGTGTGCGCCAGGCTGTCCCCAGTGTTGGGGACATCTGTGGACGCACGGGGCACCCGTGTGTGGGCTTTGACGTCCCCAGCGTTGGGGACATCCTGTTGTCCGGGGTGTCCGTGTCCTTGGGTGGTGCTCGTGTGGCCCTGCGGACACCTGCATCCAGGCCTTGCAATCCCAGGTGTCCGCAGGGACACTCCTGTCCTGTCCCTGCACCCAGGGGACACTGCGGACACCCGCATCCAGGCTCTGCTCTCCCAGATGTCCCCATCCCTGGGTGCCCCTGGGGACACCCCCACCCAGCCCCTGCAGTCCTGCGTGTCCCCATGTGCGGGTGACACTGGGGACACCCCTGTCCTGCTCCCTGTGTCCCTGCACCCAGGTGACGCCGGGGACACCCATGTCAACCCATGGGGACCCACGTGTCCCCGTGTGCGGGTGACACTGGGGACACCCCTGTCCTGATCCCTGTGTCCCCGTGCGCGGGTGGCACTGGGGACACCCTTGTCCTGCTCCCTGTGTCCCTGCACCCAGGTGACGCCGGGGACACCCATGTCAACCCATGGGGACCCATGTGTCCCCGTGTGCGGGTGACACTGGGGACACCCCTGTCCTGATCCCTGTGTCCCTGTGTGCGGGTGGCACTGGGGACACCCCTGTCCTGCTCCGGGTGTCCCTGTGCCCAGGTGGCGCTGGGGACACCCATGTCGAGCTCCCGTTGTCCTGCGTGTCCCTGTGCATGGGTACCCCTGGGGACACCCATGTCCCGCTCCCTGTGTCCCTGTGTGCGGGTGACACTGGGGACACCCCTGTCCTGCTCCCTGTGTCCCCGTGCATGGGTGCCCCTGGGGACACCCCTGTCAAGCTCCCGCCGTCCCGCGTGTCCCCGTGTGCGGGTGACACTGGGGACACCCCTGTCCTGCTCCCTGTGTCCCTGTGTGCGGGTGGCACTGGGGACACCCCTGTCCTGCTCCCTGTGTCCCCGTGCATGGGTGCCCCTGGGGACACCCATGTCGAGCTCCCGCCGTCCCGCGTGTCCCCGTGCGCGGGTGTCGCCGCTGCCCGCGGTGCCGCGCTGCCCGTGGCGCCGCTGCCAGCGCCGGTGACGGTGACAGGGCCACCGCGCGTGTCCCCGCAGCTGGAGATCTTCCACCTCGTCATGTACCGCAACTACCAGCGCAAGAACGACATGGAGGAGCCGCCGGCGCTCGACTACGGCTCGGGCGACGACGACGGCAAGGGCGAGCGGCGCGCCGGCCGCGGCGCCATGGAGGAGCGCTTCTACCGCTACGGCATCAAGCCCGAGTGGATGACGGTGCACCGCATCATCAACCACAGGTGGGTGCTGCACCCAAGGGTGCTGCGGGGCGGCAGCGGGCACAGGGTGGGTGCTGCGGGGTGCGGGGTGGGCACCATGGAGGAGCTTCTACCGCTACGGCATCAAGCCCGAGTGGATGACGGGTCATCAACCACAGGTGGGTGCTGCACCCAGGGGTGCTGCGGGGCGGCTGGTGTTACAGGGGGTGCTGCACCCAGGGGTGCTGTGGGGCTCTGCACCGCATCATCAACCACAGGTGGGTGCCGAGCACCCAAGAGTGCTGCGGGGCTTGGGGGGACCCTGCACTGCATCATCAACCGCAGGTGGGTGCTGCACCCAAGGGTGCTGCAGCACATCATCAACCACAGGTTGGTGCCAGGCACCCAGGGGTGCTGCCAGGAGTGCCCTGTGTGGCTCTGACCCCGTGTGGCTCTGTCGCCATGTGGGGCTTGGGGTGGGGGGGGAGTTGGGGGCGTCCTCGGGCACCCTTGGGTGTTGCTAAGGGAGCCTTGGTGACTTCTGAGCACCCTTGGGGCCTCCTGGGCACCGCTGGGTGCCCCGGGCACCCCCTGGGCACCCATGGGGCCTCCTGAACACCTTCCTGAGCACCCTTGGGCACCCCTTGAGCACCTTTAGGGCCTCCTGAGCACCTCTGGGTGCCCCTGGGCACCCTTGGGTCCTCCTGGGCACCTTCCTGAGCACCCTTGGGGCCTCCTGAGCACCTCTGGGTGCCCCTGGAGCCTCCTCCTGCACCCTTGGGTGTCCCCATGGGCACCTCGTGGACGTGGCCCAGGGGCTACAGGGCAGGATGCAGGTGTCCGGGGACCCTTGGGCACCCTTGGGGACCCTGGGGGACCCCATGGCCCCTCGTGGACTTGCTGTCCCCTGGTGTCCCCTGGTGCCACCCGCCGTCCCTGTCCCCAAGTGGTCTCAGCTCCCGTCGGGGGGTTCCCGTCCTTGGGTGACCCCGCTCCTGTCCGGGTGTCCTTAGTGGTGCCTCCTTGTCCCCAAGGGACCCCAGCTTCTGTGTGGGGGTCCCCATCCCCGGGTGACCCTGGGTGCTCGTCCCCAGGTGACCCTGGCTCCCGCCTGGGTGTCCCCAACTGACCCCGCTTCCTGTCCGGGTGTCCCTTTGTCCAGGTGACCCCAGGTCCGTGTCCCCGGGTGACCCCGGCTCCTGTCCGGGTGTCCCCGTCCCCAGGTGACCCCAGGTCCTGTCCAAGTTCCACTGTCCCCAGGTGACCCCAGGTCCTGTCTGGGTGGCCCTGTCCCCAGGTGACCCCTGTCCCTGTCCCCAGCTGACCCCAGACCCTGTCTGGGTGGCCCTGTCCCCAGGTGACCCCCGGTCCCCAGGTGACCCCAGGTCCTGTCTGGGTGGCCCTGTCCCCAGGTGACCCCAGACCCTGTCTGGGTGGCCCTGTCCCCAGGTGACCCCAGCCCCTCCCTGGGTGGCCCTGTCCTGGGTGACTCCGCCCCCTCCCCTCCCAGATGTCCCCATGTCCCCACCCCGGTTCCATCTTATGGTGGCAGCTGGTGCCACCTGCCGACGCGACTGCTCCATGGCACCCTGTGTGCTCCTGCCACCCACGAGTGTCACCCGTGGGTGTCCCACTGACACATGAGTGACCGGGGGSTGTCTCTGTCCCCGTGGGTGTCCCCTGTCACCCCTGGGTGCCCCGGTGTCACCATGGGTCCCCCACTCRGTGTGGACCGTAGGAGGCAGTGCCACCATGTGGTACTGTGACAACACCCATGGGTGTCCCCCATCACCCATGCGTGTCCCTGTTACCCGTGGGTGTCCCCATCATGTTCCCCTGCAGCCTGGACTGCAGGGGCCAGGTCCACTGTGTGAGTGTGTCCCTTGGGTGTCC